AAACCCAAACTTCACGCTGCATGTTGCCCTGCGGGCTTATGAAATCAAGACGTATTCTTTCTACTTACAAGATCATCAAAATAGCCAGATAATGGCCAGGGGATAATTACACTGCTCTAATTATTATTGTTGCTGACGGTAAGTGATGAACAAAGATGAATGCCGCGCGATGCGCTAAGCTGACACCCTGAAGGGGACACAATCAGAAAATGTGTTTTGACTTTGGCTCCAGTGATGTTTTGGGCCACTGTTGTGGCTCCAGCCTGTTGTCAGGGCACAGCTCTGGCGCCAGTCCCGCTCGGGAGGCGCGTGTGGCTCCAGACCCTCTTTGGGCGGCACCGTCAGCTCTGACAGTACCTTCAGCTGCGAGCAGCACCAGTTCCTGCTCAGGGTATGATTGCGACGGGCCCCGTGTCTGCCCATTGCCTCAGCACCAGTCGGTGCTCAGGCTTCAGCTCCTGCCTCATCCAGCCATGACTTTGGCTCCAGCCCTGTGTCAGGCTGTGACTTCAGTTCTCGCCCCATTCTGGGACATGATTTTTACTCTGGCTCCTGCTCACGTTGTAAACTCAGCTCCAGCCCAATACGGGGCTGCAATTTCAGCTCAGCTCCATCTCCACCTCAGCTTTTGCTCCAGCCCTAACTCAGGCAATACTAGGGCTCTGACCCAATATTGGTCCTAACTTTGGCTCTGGCTGCACATCACGCTATGAGTTCAGCTCTGGCCCTATCTTGAACTTCAGCTCCAGCTGATACCGAGTTGCAACGTCCACTCTGAACTCTGACTGGGCCATGATTTTGACTGGCCCCCATTTCAGGCTGTGACTTCAGCTCTGACCTCTGTTCAGGCTGTGAGTGAAGATTCTGGAGCCCTCTTGGGTTGCTGCTATGGCTCCAGGCCCCACCTTGAGCCACAGCTTTGATTCCGGCACCATCTTGGGTCACGACTTTGTCCCCGGCCTGATATTGGGCTGTGACTTCAGCTCCAGCCTCTGCTCAGGCTCTCATGTCTACTCTGGCCCCTGCTTGGTCCTCGACTTCTCCTCTGCTCTATTTTGGTCTGTGACTTTGGCTCCTGCCTGATATTGGGCAGCAGCTTTGCCTCTGGCCCATGCTCGGGCTGCAGCTTTGGCAATGGCACCAAATCAGCCTTGACTTTGTTAAGATACTGGGATGAGACTTCAGCTCCTGTCCCATGTTGGGCAGCAATTTTGGCTCTGGCCCCACCCCACATTGCTATTTGGGATCCAGCCCCATCTTCAGCTGTGACTTTGTCTCTGAACAGTGCTTGGGCTGAAACTTTAGTTCCTGCAACAACTGGGTCATATCTTTGGTCCTCATTTGGGCATTATTTTGTCTCCAGCCCCATCTAAGGCTCTTAATTTAGCTCCATCCAGACTTTGCCTCTGAGTGTTGCTCAGGCTGCTACTTGAGCTCTGGCATCACCTCGGGCCATGACTTCGGCTTGAACGCATGCTCGAGTGGTCACTTGGCTCAGGCCCTTACAGAGCTGGCACCTTCAGCCCTATCTTGGGCCACTACTTCAGCTCTGGTTGCTTTTCAGGCTGTTACTTTGGATCTGGCTCCATCCCGGGATGTGACTGGCTCTAGTCCCATCTCAGGCTGTAACTTTGGCTCCAGGTCCTGCTTGGGTGCTACTTTAGCTTCTGCTTGGGCTGAAACTTCGTTTCCAGCTTCTGCTCTGCAGGCATTCAGTGCTTCAAGCACAAACTGATACCAGAGGCAGACCGCGTGGTGCCCTGCAGTGGTGTTACGTGTGAAGCAGAGAGCCCGCAGAAGTAGGGTGAGTCAAGCCACAAAACCAGCAGTTTCTCTGCTGCCTGTGTGGTGGCAGATGCCTTAGTCCTGGTCTCACCAGATTTCTGAAGGTTTTACAAAGAGATGGAAGGACTCAAGTCACTCTGGGGCCTACAGGACAGGTGAAGGGACAGCACTTTCCCATGAGGATGCTAAGCTGCCAGGGAAAGAAGACAGCCCCTGCTAGCACTGACTAGGTGGTCCTACAGGCAATGGAAGGTGCTCCTGGGCTTCTGCCTGGGCTTTTCACCTCACTAAGGACTCCTGGCACTCGGCTTGGCACTCCCTTGCTTGGGTCACTTTCTTGTTGGTTGCCTCAGTGCCAGCTCCAGGTGCTGCAGCTAATCTGTTTGCTTTCCTAGGCCGTGGCACCTGCTTCTCTGTTCCTTCTGTGCTGCCAAAGGCACCCACTGATGCTTCTCTGCCTTGAGGGACACCGCTGCCATGCAGAAGCATGTCAACTGTGCCGGTTTGGGCACCAGTAAGAAGAGACTCTGTGCTGTCCCCAGGTGCCCCCTTGCCTGCTGCAAATGCCCAGCCAGCGAGCACAGTCCTGGTGCACTGCATCACTAAAGGGTGATGGGTGCTGGCTTGCAGCCATGCAGACCCACACTAAGCCTTACTGTCAATAAAGAAAACTGCACCCTAGCATCATGGCAAGAGCTACTGAAACTAAGTAGTTGTGAGATACAAGGATGAAAGTCAACTTTATCCTACAGTTAAAAGTGCAGTGTAGCCAGGTACCCAGTGGATTAATGTCATTCATTCCCCAGGAGGCCCAGGAACTCCCCAGCTGGTCTCCACACTAATGAGACAATGTATTGATTCCAGATGAGGCCAACTTGAGACAAGGTCACCAGTACAACCAAGCGTTTCACTAATTGTCACGAAAGCTCTCCAGGTCAGATTTTCAAAGTCTTGAAGATTCCCCCCCTCCTGGTTTTGTGTAGATTGATCTACATAATTGTGTGCTTTGTTAACTGACATTCTAGGTGGAGGACGCAGCTGTCCCAGAAACTCCTTGAGGTTGTTCACGCTGCAAAATTGACCAAACAGTATGTAGACAAGGCACTTGGCCAATAGCCACTATAAGCTGTTTCTGCAGATGCAGAAACAGTCACATAGGACAGTCTACTGCACATAGTTAAGACAGGTGATCTTTTGTACTTAGCAGGGGTAGTGATGGATAATGTAAGTGCTGGAGCAGTCACAGGCCAGCTGGACACTGGGAGAAGCAAGAGGATAGGGAGTGGGGGGTAGCAAAAGGGTGTGTCTAACATGCCTGGGGGCTACCGACCCATCCTAGGACACCCCGGTGCCCCTGTGCAGCCTTTGCCACATGCAAAGAAGAGACAAATCCTGTGAGCTGCACCAAGAGGTTCCCACATCTGGCTCCAGACTGAGCGGATGACCATGCAGTATTGCTGGGGCAGAGCTGGGGCATTGCAGGGTGCTGCAGGACACATACAACACTGCCCACGAAAACAGAAAACCGGAACAAATGGCAACATCAGAAGAATGTGTGCATGGGAACAGTAAGGGATAGCACACTAAAACAGAAAGAAGGAAGCATATATTAACTCCAATCCTACAGTAGTGCTCATCTCAGCAGCATAAGAGTTCACAGAATTATTTTTTTAATAATATTTACTAGAAACATGGCACTTTACATCTTCAGGGCACCGAATATACAATGATTATGCCTCACAACGTCCCGGTGAGGTAGGCATTAGATTACAGTTACTATTTGACATGTGGACAGAGGAAGAGAAGTGTGTAATCAATCCCGCACAATTAAGTTAATGAAATTGAGCTCACTTAAACATGGAGAGGCCCTCAGTGACTTGATTGAAAACCTAAGAGTGTGGCAGAGCTCATAAATTATCAGCCCCACTCTTTTACTCTAGTCAATTACAACGCTCAGGGTCCAACTCTGTTGCTTCCTCATATCCCTCTGCAAAAAACCACTTTTGTTAAACAAGGTACACACGCAGAGAGTTGTTACAAAGTGAGGGTTGTAATAGAAATAGAAAACCTCTTCAATTTAGCCTAAATTTGAACAAAATCATGAGACAGGTTTGCCTGCCCAGTCAAATTGAACAGTTCTAATGTTTTTATGACATCTCTGAGACGGCATTTCAGCCTTCAGCTATGAATAAGTATTTGCTTGACTTAAGAAAATCTAGGGAAAAAAAGTTTGGTAGACTGTGATCACTGTCTCAAAAATTACTCTTATTTTAGTGAAATTCTTCTACTGAAGTCTGAGGGACTCCTGAATAAGAGGAGGAAATTTGGAGTTTAACTCTAACTTTGCAGGTATTTGAAAAGCCCCTTAGTATACCAATTTCTCAAGTAAACTTCTCTTCTAGATTTTTTTTTTTCTGTTCTGAAAATGAAATAGAAGAGTTTCGTAAACTTTAACATAATAAAAAAATACTAGTTTTTAATATACAATTATTAATTTCATTTAATAACTTTCTTTCTACTGTAAATCAACTTTAAGAAAAAAGTACGCATGACAGTATGACTCCTGTGATTAACTCCTCTTCCCACAGCTCTGAATGATTCAGTCTCAACCTGCAAACCATCACAGCCCAGTCGAAGTCAATGCAGCCATCGTAATTCATTCGGACAGAGCACCTAATCCATCGATTCCATCATGTGCAGTATCGGCGATAATGGCCTGTCTCCAAGTTAAGAGATGATCACGACTGAAGCGGTCTGGGTCCACGTGCTCTGAAAACCAAAATACGTTGCCTTTCCCACTAGAGACATCTTCATGCTCATTTAATGGAAGGTTCAGTCAAATGGAATAATGGCTGTGCACTAAGATGGAAGAAGAATAAAGTAGTGGCTTTTGGAAGAAACCATCTTCATTTTGGGGGGGCAGGGTGGGGAAGAGTAACTGTTAACACTATTACCACTGGGCACACGAATTTCTCAGCTGAGATTCATTTTTCCTTTTGTAAATCAAAATTTTGTCACAACTACTCTCCCTCAAGGAACTTGAGCCTTGATGAATATACAGAATTTTAAAATCCACAGAACAATTGTAGTCTCCGGGGTTAAGGGGGAAGGTTGGGGGCTGAGAGAAAAAAAAGCTCAGAAGTGCACTTTGTATCTCCTGCCTCACAAAGGGTTAAAGTGCTAAGTTTGGTATATCCAAAAATTAAGCATCTTCCCTAGTCCTTTATCTTTTTAAATGAAACTTTATCTTTGGTTTCTTGTATCTTCTCTGTAATTTTATCCTTTGTTTCCTCCATCTTCTCTGTAATTTTATCCTTTGTTTCCTCCATCTTCTCTGTAATTTTATCCTTTGTTTCCTCCATCCTATCTTGTAGATATTCCTTTACTGGTGGTGGTGTGGACATGTAGCCATTCTTACGTAGATATTTAACAGTGATGGATGTTCCTCCCAAAGTCACAGTGTATCTGGCAGGAGTTGCAATCTTAAAGAAACCAAAGAACACACCGTATCAATAAAACAGGACAATATTATCTAGCAAAAAGTATTTTTAATGTTGAGAATTTATTTTGGCCAGTGTCAGATACTAAAAAGATCTTCTATTTAGAAGGAAATAAGCCAGTTTACAGTACATCCTCCAGAAACACGTACCTTTCACTTAACGTACCCTTTTGACAAAACAGGCTTTAGACTTAAACCTCCCTGTGCAGCTTGTGGGACAAGCACTGGGTGTCTCAGAATGCAATTCAGAACAGCCAATATGTGAACACTGAGTCACATAAGCAATGAGGAAATACTAACCATAGGATACGCTTTAAGTTCCAAAATTAACAAGGGTATAGGCTTTGGCTCCAAAACTTAGACTAGCACAAAGAAAACTAGAGCTAAGAGAAACCTGAAAAGGTCAGCCAATCCAAGACACTATGAACCAGGTTTGCTGTTCTAGATAGACTAACCTGTTCTTTTGGAACCTCAGAGATAAAGCCTGCACCATCTTCCCTTTGCAACATGTTCTACTGCTTCTATATCTTGACTGTTTCTTCCAACACTGCCAGATCTCCCGGCAGCTATATTAAATTCTTTATACTTAACCACATTGATCTATTGGTGTCTTTTAGCACAGGAATATTTGGCAAGAGTAGTGCTTTCACGTTTTGTTTGGGAAAATAATCCCCTTTAAATAACAGATAAGCAGCACATCACGTTTGGAAACAAAAACTGATGAGTGGCATTCAAAGCGAATACAGCACTTTGGTTTAGCATGGTCTGACATGTTTGAAGTTTCCCAAACATGGACTGTGCACATTCAAAGCAAGAAAGAGAGAGACCCAAACCTGAATATAAGTAATTGATTCAAGTGGACAATGAAAGTGCTTGACAATGATGGAGAACTAAGGTAGGAAGACAAGCTAGTGAATCCTCTAGGATAAAAATAACTGTACTTTTACCTGGAAATCATGAAGTATTTAGACTTTACCTCTTTATCCCTGTTAATTATGTCAGGGATACAGAGGAATAACTTAACTGTAATTAAATCTCTGAGGGCAGACAATAATTCTACAGCAAATGAAGTTATTTCAGAAATACATACAGACTCCTTAAGAGAACACAGAGCCCCTACCAACTTGCATGTGACTATTTTTACTATAAAAAAAAAATACTCAAGTATGTGTAACTATCAAAGAGAGAAAACAGCATTAATTCTTTCTGATATAAACAAACCAACCCTGTTTAGTTCACTAGGCAAGATTTAGAGCTTACTTACAAACTATAATTATACTTACTTTATACAACGCATATGCAGTCAGTGCATTTCCACTCTGGGAATTTTTCAGGATGTTTACTATGCTGTCTGGTAAGCCAATCAACTCTAGGAATGGAACAACATTCACTCCTCTATAAAAAAGAAAAAAAAAGGAAACCTGAATTGGAATTTGAAACCTGAACAGTGATTTACAGTACCATTTCCATTCTTTAACTCCATTATACAAATTGTAATTTGATAGCAAAGGGGTTTTTTTTTCATTTAAGCACTATACTTACAGGATTTTTATTTCTGTACATATAGGTAAATTGACATTCTTTTCAGCATTCCACCAAGAGGTGACTCATTTATATTATCCCTGTTGGGCTGAGCACCTACTCGCTTACCTGTGTCCCACTTTATGATGTTTGGAGGTAAGTAGATATAATGGTGGTAAGACAGCTATTTAAGTTCCAGTTGTGCAGGTTAAACTTCATGTTTTGTTTTGCCTAAAATTACTTTGTTTTCTTTTTTAAATTTCAGACTAAGCTGCAGCATGCCCAGAAGCACAGAATCCAGACTTCAGTGTCCTCCGTTCACTTTTAAATACATCAAACAAATGGAATGTGGCAAAAGAAAAGGAAGCAACATGTTGTATGGATAAGACTTCAGGGGGTTTGTGCCCAGTTATTCCACCTTGTTGATAAAAGGTGGCAAGATGGGTGGAGGGAGCTCCTATCAGAATTTCTTTCTATTTGAGAACCAGGGAAGCTAACAGCACAAAAGGAAAAAAAAGATGGTCCATCTTCACAATACAGTAGAAAGCTACATGCAGTTATAGAAGACCTGACTTCCCAATATTTAGAGATGTTGAATTATTAGTATCATTATATACTGCTCGTTCACAAGCCCTGGTCCTCATGGGGGATTTTAACCACCCTGATATCAGCTGGAAAAACAACACAGCGGGGAACTGTGTTCCTTCCAGAAGATTCATGGAATGCATTAACGATAACTTCCTTATCCAAGTGATAGAGGAACCAACGAGGAGAGGTGCCATGTTAGACCTCGTTCTCGTCAATAGGGAAGGGCTGGTAGGTAATGTTGAACTCGTGGGTAGCCTTGGCTGCAGTGACCATGAGATGGTGGAGTTTGAGATCCTAAGGGCAGCTAAGAGGGGGAAGCTCAGCAAGCTTGAAACCCTCGATTTCAGAAGAGCTGACTTTCGCCGCTTCAGGAACGTCCTTGGTAGCGTGCCATGGGATAAAGCCCT